GTGCATTGCAGGTTGGCAGGCAACAATTATGATTAGAAGCGTGCCAGCCATGGGCTGCCCCGTGTTTTTGCCTCATGCGAGCATTCACTGATTCATCATTCAGCCTTCAGGCCCAGGGGCAGGGTGCTATAGACAGACTGCTTTAGAAAATATATGATTTAAGGAGCGTAAACCTTGTTCAACAAACATTTGCAAAGGCACAGTTGCACAGTTTAATTTAGAGCCCATACCTGTGTCAATGTGAGGCTAATAATAGCAAAAGCAGTTCAGTCCTTTGTTAACAGTCAACAAATCAACAAGAGGAGGGTTAAACATAAGTGTCGGATAACCTTTTGACCCTCTCTTCGCATGTCAGTGGAAAGCATATTTCATGGTCCTTTCAATAAAGCCATAAAAATGGTAGGTCACCGCTGAAACAAAAAAGTTTTTCAATCGCTCCGTCAGACCATGTCCTCAGAAAACGTCTAAAATCTGCCCTGTGCCCATTGACCTTTGACCTGTGACCTCCAATTTCGGCACAGTGATGGCTTTTCCTACCATGATGCTATACACCGACTATCACGAGCCTAGGTCAAGCTGTTTAGATTTGTGCCGCAATTCTGCATTTCCTCCCTATACCTTAAGTTAAGGAAGGAATGTTCCCCCTTCTTTTACACTTCTTGACCTTTGACCTTTGACCCCCAGCTTTGGCATCGCAATTCGTTTCCGGATTACCCCCCAGCATCCCGACTTTCGAATCCGTACGTCGAGCCATTTATATTTGTGCCCAACTGTTGACGAACGCACGCACGGACGGACGGACGGCCGGACGCACGCTCATGCGATTCTACAAGCTTCATCTGACTATGTCAGATGAGCTAAAAACATCGAATATTTAACCACCGCACGCACTATGTTTACATAATGGCGTCGCTCAACTTGGGGCCGTGACGTCACATAACCTAGATTACTATTCAGGTGTTTATTACTAATTGGGCGCCGGATTTGAAATGAAATACGATATTGAATGTATTTCTATGTATAAAAACGTTACAGAAGTTAGAAAATTTGACTTCAATTGTCCTTTAAGTAAAAAATGTCACATCTGCCCTACTAATTGTCCGTATTTTACTTGATATGCAACTCGGGTTAAGCATGGGTGACTATATTTAGAATGAACAAATTTGGGGAGGCCAAACCAACTTCGTTACGGACAGAAGCAACAGGACAGTACTGTTTAGGTGGGGGAGTGCAACTTCTGTGGTTTTATCACGTTCCTCCCTGGGTGAGCAAGTTTGCTGCCTGTTTTTTTTCTGGCAGCAAGAACCTTTTTAATTAAAATTTTGCCCTTATCAAATCTCATAAATACTTGCTAATACGTAAATACAATTATACATGGTTAGAAATAGTGAATTAGCAGTTGACAATGGCGTGGAAGTACAGAGAAGCAGTAAGAGCACAAGTTAGCTATTGATACATTTTCTTGCACCACTTATTAGCTACAATTAAGGTTAGGTCACATGGTTCACTTGTGACCTTCACTCCCCGCAATGAGGATAAGCGAGAAAGTAACTTGTGGCTATGATCACAGGCACTTGGAACATTTCAATAATAAAATGATGATAAATGAATATGAAATGTATTTACTACACAAGTCTTAATAATGTATCTCTACTCTCTTTCGCCTACTATTAGTGATAACTTTCTGTAAATGCCATTGAAATGATCCGTTGCAACACAATTTCACCGCAGAAATGCTGCTTTGCACTAACAATAAGAATATAACAAGAACTCAACATTTCTGTTGTTTGTACAGTGTCAGTGACGTGCATTCACTGTCGCAGGTGAGCATTTGAATGGCATTTACAGCGAATTATTAATAATAATATATGCGGATTAGAATAGAGACATTAAGATGTTGGCAGGAAATACATTTCATGTTTATTTACTATCATTTTATTATTGAAACATACAGGGGCGGATCCAGGAATGTCTAAAGAGGGGGTCACAAGTCATTCTATTTCTGTTGTACTTGTAGTGGCTCGGCAAGCGAGCGCAGCCAAAATTTTGTAAATAGAAGGCTTCTGAGGAGAATTTTAGTGCATAAATAAGGGTTATTTTTACAGGATTTAATCACTTTATATCAAGTCGTTTTCAAAATAGATACTCTGTATGGACACTAGGCCTATACACCTTTTGAATATATTGTAAGCAAGTTGGAAGTTTTACTGAAACCAAGAAAAACTTGTTCTTTAAATGTGAAAGTAGACCATATTTGTAGAACTAGCTGGTGCCCAAACAAACCAGGACTGTGCCAGAAAAATTAATATCATTAAACATTATATGTGCACATCATTCACACTTTCACAACAACCACATAATATATTATATTCGATATGGGGGGTTCACATTTAGCGGTGACCCCCCCTTTTTGGTCAGAGGGAGGTCACATGACCCCCATGACCCCCCTTGGATCCGCCACTGGAAACATACCAAGTGCCTGGGCTGTGGCTATGATCACAGGTGTGCGCAATGAAAATACCGCCTGGTGCACAGGCACTTGGCAATAATGTATCGATGGTAAAAACACGAAATGTATTTCCTACAATCGTTTTAATTTTTCTCTACTCCCTTTCGCCTATTATAATAACTTTGTGTAAACGCTCCCCTGCAACACGTATGTACACTACACAAACACCGTTGTGCACCCGGGGTCACTCGAGATATTACGTGGTACGCATGCTCGTCAGAGAAAACGTCAAAAAAGGATCAGAATTTCGACCCTGTAGCGTCGATGACGTCTTTAGAAAAAAGGGTACTTTTTCAGGTTAACCTTCGCCGTTTAGGGTCATCATTTCAACTCTGACTATTCTTCTGATTTCGTCTGACTTCGACTCTACAACTGTGATGGTACTCTTTACCTCCGCCCAACGGAGGTTATGTATTCGCTCTTGTGTGTTCGTGTGTTCGCGCGATCGATATTAGCGCGTCAGCCAGCTCAGCCAGCCAGCCAGTGATACCCAGCGAGCCAGCGCAGCAAGCCAGCGAGCGTGTACATGTGAGCGAGCAGCAGCAACGAGCAGCTGCTACGAGCGAGCGAGCAGCAAGCCAGCAAGCCAGCGTGTAAATGTCAGTACGCTGGCGTATATCGTGGCATATTCGTGTGTTCGTGAGTCGTATGGCGTATGTCGCTGGCGGAGGTATGCACTCTCCGTGAGTGCACTCTGTCTAGTCTCTGTTGTTCACCTGATGAAACTGAAGTGAAATCTTGCTGTGCAGGTCACATTTGGCTATAATAAACCAAAATGAAGAAATGAATCAATATAGATAGCTTCCAGTGTATATCTCTACAATACACATTCAGTGAGAAAATAGTCATTACACAATAAACATGATTAAGGGACAAATTTATTGTGCTACACCATTTAGGGCTCGTCCGTTTTAGTTTCTTACGTCATTTAGGGGTAAGATTCACAAGTTACATTATCTTACGCCAATAATTAAGGGGTGAAATTTGATACCGCTGAATACGCCATTTAGGGTCCAATTTTGAGATGCTTTGACGAGCATGCGTACCAAGTAATATCCTGAGTGAACCCCCCCCCCCAAGAATGTGCACAACCAACCAATTTATAACGGCAAACAATTAATCTATGTGTACATATGGTGTACTCTAGATACGATAATGTAACCAAACAAGAGTAGAGAACCCTATACTTGTTTGTTGTGGGCTACATTATTGACATGCGTCTAGACAGGAATTGCTCCAACCTGGGATTGGAGGATAAAAGTACAATTTGTGACCTTCGCACTCGCACCGCTCGCCCTGCCGCATACGCTAGTCTATTACGCTATGACCAGTAGAAAAGTGTACTATCATATAGCGCAAACGATTTTAGTTACATTTCTATCAATTCTAGCTATTATGGGCACGTCTTAGCTATAATCTCTGTGAATTTTGAGTTTATTGAAGCATGATTAGTCTAATTATTTAGCAAATATGTACGCGCGGTATCGCGCATAGGCTAATACACGCGAGACTATGGCCGGTAGGAAAGTGTACTATCATATGGAGCGAACGATTTGAGTTACATTTCTATAAATTCTAGTTATTATGGACACGTCTTAGCTATAATCTCTATGAATTTTGAGTTTATTGAAGCACAATTAGTCTAATTAATTGGCAAATATGTACGCGCAGTATCGCTCATAGGCTAAACGCCTACGGATTATCCGGACTCTCCATTTCCATTCGATTACTGGTCACATGACCATTTCTGGGGAGTTCGGACTCTCCAAACTCTCCATTTTTCTGACCGGTGCGATAGCGGAGAGGTCACGTGACAAAATGACGGAATGGCGACATTTAGTCAGAATTTCGGTTATTCAAACCTAATTTTCTGGTTTTTAACACATTTTATGCACCAATCTGTGTAGTGCATCCGATTTTCGAGTGTTACTAATACTTACAATGTTGACAATAACACTATTATAATAGATCCCTTTTTTCCCTCGGTACGATTGAAATTTGTAGTATCAAAAGGCTCGTTGAGAATCAACAACGTGGGGGGGCCGCCATCTTGGTTCTCCACTTCTATTCTATTTCGCACAAATCCGGTAGGATCCGGACTGCATAATCGAATTGGCCCCAAAATGAAAACGAAATGTCACAAATTCTATTTTCATCCTCCAATCACAGGCCGGAGCAATTCCTCTGTCTAGACCAGTGTTGTAGTCGAGTCCGCACCCCCCGAGTCCGAGTCCGAGTCCGAGTCCGCACCCCCCGAGTCCGAGTCCGAGTCCGAGTCCGAGTCCGAGTCCGAGTCCGAGTCCACACCACCCGAGTCCGAGTCCGAGACCGAGTCCGAGTCCAGTTTTGATTAAAAAAAAGGGGGGCACAGACCGAAAAGGCCATTCACTTCTATGTATGTGTTTGTTCAAAAATGGGGCGGGGGGGGTTTCCTGTCCCCTGGATCTGTCACTTGTTTGCATAAAATAGAAAAGACCATAAAACTTGCATAAGTCGACACTTTTGGGACCAGCATATTTGTGTCGACTTAGGAAAATAACGTGTTGGAAAATAAAATAAAAATAAAATAAAAATTGTGCATTATGCATTGTTTACGCTACGAACATTTCTATTGTATGTAGAATGTAGATTAGTGGCAATCATCCGACTTGGCTTATGAGATTGATCTGGGAAAAAAGCGCAACCGTGCATCGTAGACATTCGAAAGTGTATAGTCAGCCGAAAACACAGAGACACGAGTCATACGAAACGTGTCAAAGTAACGGATCCATTTGTGTTTTACGAGAATGACACGGCTTGTTGAACCAAATGAGAGAGTGCTAGTACTTAGTACCTACTACCTAGTACCTACTACCTTCGAAGTGGTAGAGGTCATATAGTAGTACCTACTAGTACTCGCACATAGGTTCATGACATCATTTTACACCTTTCTGCCTTATAATTCACTTGCTGCCAGCCGCAGTAGACGATTGATTAACCGCGCGCCTGTGTACATTATTATGCCCGTGGTTGAATACGAATGATGCGCGTGAACTCGGCCCACGCGCGATTTAAAGCGCGACAAACAGCATCTACGACTACTATGTATGTAGTGGCCTCGAGCCGGTCTCGACCCGAGTCCTCGAGTCCGGAGGGCTCGAGTCCGAGTCCGAGTCCGAGTCAGGTGTTATACAGCAGGGGCGTGTACAGGATTTGTACCAGGAGGAGGAGTCTAACTGTAACCCAAACTTGCGAGCACACGAAAGGGGGCGTCTGGGGTCTGCCCTCACCCAGAATTTTTTTTAAATTAGACCCCCTTAGATGCGTTTTCTGCACGAGCAGGGGGGGTCCGGACCCCCCCCCCCTGTACACGCCCCTGTACAGAGCATTTGAATGGCATTTACAGGAAACTGGTAATAATATTAATACTAGTAATAGGCGAAAGAGAGCAGAGAAACACTTAAACTTTGGCTAACGCTCCATTTAGGAGTGTTCCCAACTTTGATACCATTAATGATTAATGATTAATGATTGATAATCCTAACCCTAACCCTAAACCTAACCTAAATGACATTAAACAACAAACTAATATATGACCATGACCATATATATATATATATATATATATATATATGTCATTATGACCATTAATGACATTAAAGTTGGGAACACTCTAATGAAGTATCACCCTAAACATTGGTAGTAAATACATTTCGTTTTTAATCTTTTAATTATTGAAACGCTCCAAGTGTACGTCTGTGCCTACAGGCTACGGCTATGATGTGGATCACAAGAGGCATGTAGCTCTACAACTATAGCCCTTCGCTCCGCCACAGCTAGGCGCCTGTCTTGTATTGTCTTGTCTGATACTGACATTACTGTACTAATCGGCTGGTATGGCTATAGATGTCATGAATCGCTTTGATGACCTAAATTTGATCGCTACGCCTGTGGCAGAGCGAAGGGCTATAGTACTAATAGCCTTAGCGCTAGTAGTAGTATAAACCGACCAGGCTCTCCGACTGTTACACGTCGTCTGTTACCAATCGCCAACGTAGTGTTAAGTGAGAAGGGAACTTGTGGCTAGTAGTAGTACTACTAGTACTATATAGCCCGCGTACAGTTGCCGCACGCCTGCGGCAACTGTACGCGGGCTATAACATTATTCATTTTATTGTCATTAATGTTATGTCTTGGCCTCTGTGTTACGTCTTGGCCTCTGTCCAAGTGTTTCTGTGTATCTATTCAATAATTCAAGTGTTTCTGTGTAGGTTCACAAACAAAACATGCACGGCATTTTGGCGGTCACTCAACTTGTTTTATTCTAGACTAGTCACGCCATCTCGTGGACGCAATACATGACATCCTCTTTCCTTACAAAAAATAAAACCGTTCCAAATTCACACAAGTGTTCACGTATGCCAAATAAACAAACACATTTGTTTTGTTTTTTTGTTTTTTTAAATTCACTACGAACTAACCTTCAACTAAACTCTGTAAATCACATGCAATCTTGCATAGGTTCATTAACCATGAAACGCTTGTCTTAATAAACATAACTATATTATCTTAACTCTGAATTTGTCTTCCCCTTGTCCTTCGCTCATTTTGTCTATCTCACAAAGTCTGACAACTTCTGAGTGCGTCTGGAAATTCTCCCTTACCTAGTGGACAACTGAAGGCTTTTGAGCGGACTCACATTTTGACTCACTGTTCGGCCTACAATTACCATGTTGTGCTGGTTGAGGTTGAGGTTGAGGTTGAGCTATTGGTGAGTTGGACAGGTTAGAGTGGGGATTTGGGGTGGAGTTCTGTCAACTATGGCTGTGCCATATTGCAAACTCCATCATCTCGAGGTTCATCACCTCTATCTCGGAGCGGTGTGTAGTGTTCCTTGGTCCTCAAGAGATCACGTCGATTTCTCCTAGTGATCCTTCCACTCGGCAGCCTTATCCTGTATGATCTGGGTGGTACATCCGTTTGATCTGGAATAAGCTCTGCTAATTTCCACGTCTCTTTGCTCCTCACTCGGATTGTGTCATATGGCTTCAGTGGTTCCAACTGTTTTACGTGTCTGTCATAATATTTCTTAGCTCTTCCATGTCTGGCATCCTTCAGGTTCCTGCTTACATCTTGTGGTTTCTTCACCTGTGGAGTCAGTTTGCATGTTGCGGTAGGAATGCTTGTTGCAGTACGTCTCGCAAACAGTCTCTGAACGGGTGATCCCATCTCGTCGTCTTCGCGGGTATTCCTTACGGTTAGTAATGCGAGTATGGGTCGTTCGTGCTGCT